CACGTACTTTCTCGTAAAATTACGTAAAAAGTACTCAAATTTTCGAAAAATTGTACATGATCTTATTTCAAAATCTATTTGCAAGGAACACACTTCATGAGGGGAAAATCTCTACCTTTATAATTGTAGTTGTAGGAAGACGCCGAAAAAACTTTGATTTTTTTCATTTTTCGAAAACAGTTTTCAACGAAAATGAAACCTATAGCATTCTCTTAAACGTCCTTTGCACTACTCAACAAGATTTAATAAAAAACTATAGTGCCATTGTTTTGAAATTTTTGAAAATGTCGCAGGAGCTTCATGCAAAGTACTCCAAAAAAATGAAAATATCGGTTTTAAATTCAAAGGGCGGCAACATTAGTCAGATCGATTGAGAAATATAAATTTTGGAGAAAAATGGTTGAACAGTTTAGCAGCTAGCGTTATTCACAGACGGACAGACGTTTTGCCGTCATTCGATTTTTCGGCATAGAGACCCCACAAAACATGGATTCTGACTACACCAGGAATTAAGGGGACTTTTTTCTAAATTTAGCATCAAGATGTATCCACTTTTCGTTACCAGGGCCCTGAAATAAGAGTTTTGTGTAAAAAATTTGCGGTGTTTCGAAACACTACATAACTTTCTCTCCACTGCGTAATCGACATCAAACAAGCAAAAAAAATAAACAATTTGCTCTGAAATACAATTCGGTCTTGAATTCCATTCTTATCCTTATGGCAACCCTACATCAAACGCACGTATTATTACTACAATTTGTAGTAATAATATAATATATACGCAGACCAAAACATCCTCCCCCTCTCAAGTATCAAGGAGAAAATAAATATTGGCTCCCAAACAAAAAGCCAGTCAAATATCTTGGTGTACTTTTTCATAGGAGGCTCACTTGGAAATCAAATATTCTTCACATATAAACTCTGGCCACCCATAGAACCATCAATTATATTCCATACTCAAACAGTTTTCACTCCTCATGGAGCTTCTTATCTATACCAATCAATGATTCGTTATCTTACACTTCTCCTATCTGGGCCTCAATCAAATATTCAAAAAATGCAGATTTCCCAAAATAAATTTCTCCAAACCATTACAAAAGCTCCTTGTTTGTACATAACTCCCAGTTACATACATAACGAACTCGACATCACTCCTACCTCCGTCCATTTCTCCCTCTTATCCACTCGCTTCTATCCTAAAGTTTTCCAGATTCCCACAACCGTACATTTCAAAATCGGAAAACAAAATCCTCACCCCCACAGACTAAAGTAGAAATGTCCGCGACAGTTCTTCGACCCCCCCGGTGGTCATTATGTACCCGATGTGGCTTCGCATATTCAATCCAAGCGTACTCAATGTATTCATCTGTGAATAATGTTTCCTGAACAATGTTAAGGTCCCCTGAAGTATCGTACTCGACTGCTGAGGGTCTTCGTACCAAGCAGAAATAAGTTAAAGAAGAAAAAAACAATTTGAATTGAATTTATACCTTATTTTACGTGGCGAGACACTGGCCATGAGGCCTGCTCTTCCGTCTGACCACGCAAATTTCGATACGCTTCCTTTCACCAACTAGCGGAGGAAGGAGGTATTTCTTGGGCGACGAAACAGGCGATTTAAATTTAGCCCAAATTGAGGATCTTTTACATGCAAGTAAATCTACTAACATGGGGCAGCCGGCTTTGCTTCCCCTCCGAAGAAAGATGTACGAAGGGTTTTTTCGCCCCTTAAAATCAGTAATCGCGAGTTCTAGGTGGCACGGTTCCTTGTTCACTGATCCGTCACTAGAGGGGAATCGAAAATCCTAAATATCGATCAGGTTTTGAACCCGCCAACTTCGAGTGCAACAGGTCCGAACGCTAACCGTTACACCACCGCCGCCGCTGGTGTGCGTGCTGCCTACCTACAACGTCACGTACCTGCGCGCGTCGTCCTCCTGCGCGATAAGGTCGTCCAGCGAGGGCGCTCGCTGTGGGCGCGCGTTTGCAGCAGCTGGCTGGGCCTGGAGCCCGCCGCCCGCCCGCCGCCGCCACCGGCCCCACCCCGATGCCCCTGCTGCTTCTTCTGCACCATGCACGCCCCGGCGTCGCCCCCCGGCGTGCGCGCCTCGCAGCGCCACGCGCACTCGGGCTCCATGCTCATCGCCTCGGCTCGCAGCTGCTCCTGCACTTGCTCTGCTCGCTCGCGCGCCAACAGTTTGCGTTGGCAACGGTCGCCAGGCGACCACGCCGCAAGACAAACGCCTGGCGTCTTAGGCCTAACCAAACACAGGACGCTCCTGAGCCCTCTTTGTGCAGATTTGTGAACGCGCGAAAACTGCAAAGCACGTTTACGCCACTGCGCGGAGGCCGTTCCTACCCTCACGGGCATCTATGGCCAATTCTGCTACGTAAAGAAATCAGGAGGTCAAAAATGACTTTAGCCTACTGGTGCGCGCATTGCGTGTGCAGAAATGCTACGTTTATGTTTCAAGTATCGTTATCTGTTTCAGATTACTCTTACTCTTAAGAGATGTCCGGCATACTTGTATATTAAGTGCACGAACAAATTCATCGCTTCAAGTAGCAATTCAGTGCACAAGTTTTCAGAACGAAATATTGCGAGATGAACGTCTATGTAGCTCCTTAACCAGTATTTAACCTTATTTGTAAATGTCGAAAACCTTTCATGTGAAAACCTGCAAATCTTTATTATTAAAGAAAATGGCAGCTGGTATTGAAACATGTATCTAAACATTATCCACATACAGCTAATATTTTGGTGATTCATTTTATATTTTTATTTCTACTTCGCTCACCCCCCAGAACAAGATGGTGATGAAAACAAACGCAATTCCAGAGTCAGATTTGAAACCTGCGCGCAGATGATCGCCTGCAATGGCGCAATTGGTATAAAATGGCGTAATTGCCCTAAAAAAATTAATTCTCCAGAAATCTCCAAGTTCACTTAAGACCTTGTTTTCTAAGAGCCCTTTCTAACATCAACCACGCACGTTCCTGGTACGAACACGATAATCGTCCAAGTAAGCTTTATTTGGCTGCGGCGATCAACTGGTTGTAGTTATCATGACTAATGGTAGTAAAAGCATATGATTCTGCTTTTCAATATGGTTGGTTTACAATATTTATCGACAATTGACCGCTGACTCCCATACTTACCCCGTGACCCCAATTTACCCCCGCTTCCCCTACTGCTAGTGCCTCAGTTTTTTGTTCATCATGAAACAGGCTGCTTGATTTGAATTTTATACACTCCAAAGAGTTAAATGGTATAAAATTATTCTGATGGACATTCCCAGCTATTTAAAAAGTAAATGTATAAAAGTGACATGTAGGATAGCCAGATATAGTTAGATAATGAAATGAGAGCGAGTAAATATTGACTGAATAGTGAGGAGAAACATGCAAGACCTGTCAGATGAAAGATGATGATTTGGAACATATTTTAGACAGATATCTGGTTTTTGAGGAAGGAAGAAAGTAGTCCAGTTGTAATACTCAGGATAAGGTGAGGGGGTTATCAGAGGACAATGGTGAAAGAATCAGTATCTTCGATAAATACAGGAAAGAGCTTAGTATGTAGCGTATTATTACTGAAGTAGAGAAGTTGGGCAGAATTTATGTCGCGTTTAGATTTATTTAGTCAAAACAGTCAGAACTGCATGTTACGCATAAGATCTGCGCAGGTTTTCAATATTTTTTTAGTTCCAGTATCCCTTCCCATCATTTGAACAATGACATTTTAAAATTTTCATTTCAACTATAAATAGTTAAAGAGTAATTTAAAAAACAAAAAACGTAACGGGGTCGTGACCGCCGGGAAGGACGCCGCCTTGCATCGAAGGATGAACACTGGCCCGTACGGCCGAATTTAAGATAGTTGTAAGCTAGTTTAAGGAGTATTTATAACGGGAGGCCTCCCTCGTGAAAAAGCCACTGCAACTTCAAAATGCATGTTTCAATGCAGTACTAGAACGTGAATAAGCCCTATGACGCATGCCTCCCTTTAAAGAGACTACGGGCTGGGCAGCCGGGGCAACGCTGGATCGCCGTAACCAGGTAATCAGCTGTGCGCCGAATGGCTCATGTGGTTACACAATGTACTCCCACATTTTGATTCAATGGCAATGTTTTGACATCTGAAGAGAAAAGATTTTTTTAAACAGTCATTTATGTACTTCTGGTAACAAATAAGAGCTTATCCTTCCACAAGCGAATGCCAACGTAAAAATGAAGATACAGATATATATATATATATATATATATATATATATATATATATATATATATATATATATATATATATATATATACACACACACTGTTCAGTTCCAATTCTGCATGATTCATGCGGCATACTATCTTTCTTAATTCATTTTAATGCCTCACAGCAAGTATAATTTGTGACAAGTGAAGTATATACTAAATGTAACTCAATCACAAAGTAACTGTAAATTGTATAATTGTGCCAGTTTGTGCTCAAGAATAAACGTATTGTTGTGCAAATACGTGTCTGCATCTGATGTGCAATTAGAAAGTCCTAAACCCGCCCTTAGTGAATACTGGCCATATGAGATGTCTTACGGCTTCAGACTGTTTTTCACGAACCATAAAACCACACAGCCTACTCAACATCCTTTAAATGCACAGCGGTCAGAATAGTAGACATTCAATTATTGATTAACTTTTGGACATTTTAGTATTTTTCCTTTATTATCGTATTAAAAATATAGAAATTAAGCTTACCAATTGTTTGAAGTTACTCCTTATTTGATACGTTATAGGCGTAATGAGCAGGCTTTTAAAATCTAGGAGGGATTCAGCTTAGTATAATATATATATATATATATATATATATATATATATATATATATATATATAAATAATGGGTCCTGCATCTTAACAATAAAAGTACAAACCCCTTCATAACAAGACTTCAGAAATCCATGGCTCTATAGTCAGACTAAGTAAGTTGTCATACCAATTTCAATTTATTTATTTCATGAAACATAATACAAGAAAATGTGCACATTTAAAGTTCAAAACATCACATCGCTGAATCTCACTGAGGGCTCAGCCCTGTGGGCAAGAAATGAATTAATGCTATTCTAATTTTTAAAATGAAGATAGGATCAAGTTTTTAATACAAAAATGTACAAAGACACGAAATTTAAAATTTACAAAAAGGCAGACTTTTAATAGTCAATTGAGATACCACTACTCGAGCCGACTTTTTACTACACATGCTATCAATAATACCTAATATTTCCTTTTGAAGGTAGGTATAACAAACAGAACGGGCAGGAGAGTGAATACGATGTGGAGATATATAATTCAGCGTGACGAAATCCCCATGGTTGGACCAACGTTTCATGAAATTGATTAAAAACATTAGCTACACCAGAGTTCATATCAACAAGTTCATTATTTGACAATATATCGTTTATACAAGTAATTTTTCCTATCACTGCTTACATCAAATTTTATACATTCCCAAATATCTTAATAAAAATTAGTATGGTAAGAATCTTTAAATTTTTGATGAATGCATAACAACTTTTTGAAGTCCTCGTATTTACATTGCAAACTACTGTCACCAGGATATTTTTTTAATTTACGGAGCCGATTTTTAATTTTACTTATTAGTCCCCAAGTTATTCAACTTTTATGCAGCTTATTCTCATAAGAGAAATTAATTTTAAATTTAGATATGTAGATTACATTTTGTATCTCATGAAAAAACATGCAGCAGCTTCCACGTTATCTTCTTCGGAAACACCATTCCAATTAGTATTTTCTAATTTTCAGTTTAACATTAATTTTCTCTGTAAATGGATTTTTATTAATGTTCTGGGATGTTCTAAAAGTACTATCTAGCAAAAAATTGTGGCAAAACAGCAAGTAATATCTAAATTATTAATGAGGTATAACATCTATATAAACTATGTCAAAGATGTCAATAAAAGAAATTGTCCCACATACTTATGTCAGTACATTAATGTGCGAAATATAGCCAAATTCATGAAAATTAGTTATATACCAACGGAAAATATCATTATTCATCAAAATTTCTATATTAAAATCACCAATAATACAATCATTGTGATAATCATGAGTATATGTAATTAGTATATCTAAATTGGTCCAGTTTAGTGAATCTTCATAGATAAAAAACTGAAACGGGTTATCATCTACGTGAGTACGCACGTGCTCATGCAAAGGTCCTTTCTGAGCAAAAGTCTTCTCACAGATGGAACACTAGAAAGGTTTGTCATGAGAGTGGGTCGCATGTGCTTATCCCACGTTCCTTTTCCAGTGAAGGTCTTCTCATAGAGAGAACATTGGAAAGATCTCACGAATGTGGGTACGCATGTGCTTATTCATGGTTCCTCTTTCAGAAAACGTCTCACAGATGCATCACTGGAAAGGTTTTGGCACAGTGTGGGTGCGCATGTGTATATTCAAAGATCCTTTTTGAGTGAAGGTCTTCTCACAGACGGAACATTCGAAAGGTTTCTCACCAGTGTGGGTGGGCATGTGTTTATACAAAGTTTCTTTTTGAGCGAAGGTCTTCTCACAGACGGAACACTGGAAAGGTTTCTCACCTGTATGTGCGCGCATGTGATTATCTAAGGTTCTTTTTACAGTGAAGGTCTTCTCACAGACGGAACACTGGAAAGGTTTCTCACCAGTGTGGGTGCGCACGTGCGTATGCAACTTCCCCTTTCTATTGAACATCTTATTGCAAATAGAACACTTAAAATGTGTTCCTCTGTGGATGCTCGTGTTTGGGGGCGGTTCCTTGCGGTGGGGGGTCTGGGCACAGCTGCTGAATCTACTCCTAGGGATGCATTCCAAGTCTGTACTTTGGCTCTCTTGTGTCTGGATTGTGTTGGTTTTCTCTGATGAATAACTCCCTCCATCTACTAACAAAAAACATTTGTATCAGACAAATTTAGAGGCAGACTAGCAATAACAATTGTCTGATTCTTAACAATCAAACATTTGACACAAACATGCAAAGCGAATGCAATAATCCGGAAGGGAAAAAGCGCAGTTCCAAAAGAGTTGTAAGAAAATTCATTTAATTGTATTTTAGTTTACCAAATACTCAGGAAGGTAAACATATGTAATACTTTCGAAAAATGGTGGATTGTTGATTTCCTGGTAGTAAATCTGAAATTATAGCAGAGATAACCCTTTATGATCCGAACTATATCTTGAGATAGAAAAAAGTTTTCAATACTAGCTACTGAAGGTTCTACTCGAATAACTCAACCAGTTAAGGGCTTCGGCTATCCAAGAAACTGCAAATGGTAGGCATGGTAACTCTGGCTCCCAGGCCAACATTGTCTCGGGGCAAAAAACATTTATACCATTTACATTAAGAGAGATCTCGAAAATGGCTCGATTGGTTTCAATGGACTATTGTCTGAATGATTATTAGTGATTCCGAGCGCGTCAACTACTTAGGTCATTAATTCCTCAAGTTTAGTGCATGTTTTTTGCTCGGGGTGTGGCGATGGCTTTTCCCAGCCGTCCTACCGTCGGACATTGGTGTTTATCAACCACTATATCCCACACGCGTGGCAACGCCCCAGCCGGGACAAACCTCTAAGCTCCCGACTGGTCTCCTGGCATGTTTGGTAGTTGAGTGCAATGAACTTTGGATATATGATGTTTGATTATGATAAACGTTAAAAGGTCTCAGATTAATTAAAGTTAGTTTTGATATGATTTTACGGAGTACTGTAGCCCGTAGGAGACAGCAGGTCGAGGATTAGAATTGAAGATCGTGGCTCGAGCCCAGCACCCGTCTTACGGCGAGAACCATTCCAGTAATTCTAAGAACGCAGATTTTAATTAAAAAAGTGAAAACCAAACAAGTTTTGTGTTTGAATAATTTCCGTTTTGTCTCCGAACGCGATTTTTACTGTTTTGTTGGAACATTTTTTCTCAAAATTAAAAACTCAAAAACATATTAATCAAATAATCAAAGATATTTCACTTCTATAAACTAGGAAAATTGTATTTTATTTGTGACTGAGTTTATTAATTTATAATTCAGATTTAACAAACAAAGCAAAGTAGAAAAAAATATCTGAACAATTAACTAAACAGCCTGAAGCCTGAGCGATCAGGATCATCAAGGGGTCCGAATTCCCTCAGTTCACCCAGAAGGGAAAGGTAAGAAAAGGACACACCCACATCTACGAGGTAAAATGTAGGAAATAAACTGAACATTTGGGTCATCTCTTCTGTGATAAGTCTGCTCGATGAAAGTGGCACACATCTTTCGTTTTATTCCATCACGAACTAACAATTACAGACATTTCTTTAAACTTAAGTTTAAAAAAAATGTGATTGTGGGACTTATTAAAAAACAAAACAAACGAAGCAACATCGAACACGAAAATCAATGTTAAAAACATCTGCTTCAATAAATTGATGCTTAAAACAACAGAGTTTCCTTAAAACGCTGATATTGCCCCCAGCCATTTCAGCTGGTTATTGGGTTTTCCTGTGCACCACAATCTGTAAAATTGTCACGTTTGAACATCTAAGAAAATGTTTCATTAGTGTGCTAGGAGTGATTGTTTAATTCAATAATTTAAATTAATTTGTCAAAAAACTATTTCTCGACATTTAAAAGTTTTAAATTACACATACAAAAGAAAGATGAACGAAAAGCACACAAATTTGGGCTCTAGAAACTGCCATAATAACCTCCCTTACGACACTGTGTACTGCTTCCATAAGAAATTGAGTGATGTAGGAAGCCATAACCTAGCTTTCAGACTTCCTTATCAATCATTTCAAACATATTTGAAATTTCTATTGAATCCTTGATAAGTAAGATCACTGCTTACAGGCATTTCACGCAAACCATTCAAAGTTTAGCGAAGAAAATAAACAAAGAGGGAGAAACAGAAAGGGAAATAAAAGTTTTCCAATTCAATGCTCCACTGGAAGGAGCTGATGAGGCGCTCAGTCATAAAGAAAGAGCACATCAAACAGGCGTTTCCAAGCGCTATCGAAAATCTGGCAAATAAATATTATTCATCATCACAATGTTAGGGACTTGTTTTCTAACAAGTACAGAATTTGTAATGCCGTTGAGTACTTGCGTGGCTGTTCGATAGAGCAATCTCGATTGAACATTATTTTTGTAAACAACTTCGTCATAATTTTTACCAACTGCTGTACTCTCTAACTCACTAGTTTCTAACCTAGGTTCACAAAATAATTAAAAAATATTTTTCTTACTTACCTGGGGAACATGAAGTGATCTCTTGTTTTATTGTAGGAATAGAAGCACCACTACAGCAGGATACAAGAGGATCCTACAGAAAAAAATAAACAATCTCTTCATGCAATAAAATATTGAGATTAAAGTGACTAGAGATTTAAAGACCTTAAAGTGAGAAAATATCCATTACTGTCTTTAAAGTGTCAGTGCAGCGTAATTGGGTAACAAGAGGGGCAATTCCCAAAAACTAATAACAGCTGACTAAAGATATTCCAACCAACTAGTATGAGAAGGTCTGTGCTAATCTGCAGAATCACTAGTTTTTAAATAAAATTTTTATTCGAAAGTAGGCCATTAATGAAGTCATGTACAATTTTTGCAAAATATGAGTGATTTTGCATGAAATAAAAGCAATTTTAAAACCAGTCTTTCATTTAACTTTTTTATTGAAACCAACCAAAAATGGCTACAACACCCCCCTAAACTGCAAAAAACAAAAAACATTTACAGAAAAAAAGATGCAGGTCAGATTATAGTAGGATTTCAAAAAGCGCAAAATATACCAGAACTAGTTTAGTAATAGGTTTTTGAAAAGTTGTGATAGAGTGGGTAAAAACTTAATCAGACAATAGCTTAAACAATGCTGTTTTGCCTGTATACAGATTGGAAGTATTATTCCAATTTTCCGATCCAGTACCAGAAACTAAGAGGCATGCTTAATATTGCTGTTATTCAGGAAACTATTTTGGTTCCTTTCTGTATGAAAATTGAATGTGCGCATGTAAAGTATAAATCCCAACACACATTTACCTCAAATACTCCCTGCAAACACCCAAGGCATCTCACACACACAGACAATAACTTTACTTCAGCCAGCACTGTGGTGGATATCTACATTAGCCAAATTAAGTTCAAAACAAATCACATCGAATAATTCATACATATTTTTCCATACTGTTCAGCTAATTGGCAAATTAATTACATACTTCACTTATTAGCCATATTTCGGACCTTAGTAGTAACATGCATTAGATTGCGAAACATTGGCATTCTTCATAATGTCACTGAATCATTCGTGACATAACTAAGAACAACCTCTTATTTAAATAAAGACATTTAGGGTGAGGTTTAACACATTACAATTCAAAGATTTCTTGTATTAAAAATCATCCTGTAAATATGTATGGTAGCCATACCATTGCTTCTTCAATACAGGCTCCTCTTTGCTTCCCCATTGGCTGAACAAACACTGCAAGTGGAGGGTCCAACTCCTGCACAAAAAACATATCATACTGCATTAAAAACAAAAAAACAAAATATCATACAGCAACAAAACTAGTGGTGATACAACAGCATATACTTTTTGGTATATTTGATATTGGTATATTTGATATTATAATGTTGCACATTCCTAACACTATCATATTGTTCATCTTCACTCCCGCTATTAGAAAAATATATTACATGCCTTCAATTTATTTAGTAACATCAAAATTGTCTTCCACTTAAATACTTTAGCAAAGCTTTCAACCACTGCTCAACCCTTGCTTTTCTCGCCAAATCTGTGGAATATATCATTCTCATAACACGTTGACGTACAAGTGATCATCTAATAATCAAATAATCACATTCAATTTGTACCATAGATACACACTGTGTCTCTGTGACACCCCATACTGTGACAATACAGAACTCACAGTATGGGGTGGATGGTAACTTATGAAAAATAATTATTGATGCACAAGTTTAAATTTTAATAACTCACATCTGTTTTATTTAATCAAAAATTATATTATTCCTCCAGAGTTACGTTACAAATCTCTCCCTTTTCAACTACAAAAGGATTTGTGTGACCCAATGTGTCAAAAATTATTTTACTTTATTCAAGACAGATGAATACTACTCACATCATCTTCTTCTTCTTTAACAGAATGCTGTAAAGGTTTAGGTTCATCTTTTGCCTGAAAGCAAAACACATTTCTTATAAAAAAGCATGGCTGCCTATAGAGATGCTTCTAAAAACAACTCTAGTAGAACTGCAGTGAAAAAGTGACCAAGATTTCCCTCCAATATTAAACCAAAAAGAAAAGTTTTATGGGATAAAAATGGCATTGTGAAGAACTCGTAAACATATTTTATTTTAATCCAGAGTACTGATTACAAAAATTGATTGAAACAAAGCAGAGGCATCTTATTTTAACTCTATGTAACAAGAGAAAATCAGATACCTAAGATTCCATTAGGCTGGTTGTTACGTTATTACAGGAAATGTGAAATATAATGTTTTGGTTTATTTACAAAGAAATGAAAGGTAGGAAGATTCATGGAACATTTCTAAGGATCGAGGTGTTTCAACATTGCTTCCATTTATCTACATATCTTTCTCAATAGTGTCTACACAGACTGTTGGCATTCTGCTGTTCCAGGTGATTATTATTTAATTTTTTATGTAAATATTTGTCATCTACTTGAGCAGTCAACCTCATAGATTATTGCCCAAGCTTTAATGGGTCTAGAAGAAACTTGGCATGGCAATCTGGACAATTCCACAAAAGTTCTCAGCGAAATCTCACAACGGAATTAAAACAATATACCTACAATTATTATATAACACATGTATGACAAATTTCATAAAAATGTTTTTCTCAGTCAGAGCTGTGGCACATACTAGTACAAAATTATGTCTTCATTCTTGTATTTCTCTGGCTTATGATCATAGACATTACATTTTAACTTAAGTTATAATCTCCACAAAAAAGGCATCTTTCTCAGCTGTGTATGTTTCTTTAGTTAATACTTTTTGTACGCTATTGGGATGTAAATATCTGGTTGTCAATAAAAATAGAGTGTATGTTTTTTACTTTTCATTTACATAAATAAGTTTTTAACGTCATTATTTCAATTGTTTTAACTTGCTGTTTTATATCGAGTTTCTGTTATTTCACATTTGATCACAATCATTTCGGTTCCTATTATATTTACACATACTACATAAATTTGCAATTAGAACATGTATTGGTCGGATTTAATGCTGGGATATCCTACTGCGAAACTTCACTTCACCCGAGTTGTCTTATCTTTCCAAATTATCATAAACTTTTCAAGAAACAACATTCAATAACTTCCCAGTACATTTTTGTTCCACAGGATGGTAATTCAAAGAACAAAAAAGTTCAAACCTTCTGAACTTTGCAAATACGTTGCAGAAGAAGTCCCTATTACGTCACACAGAACAATTGACAAGCAACTTGGGCCACTGAGATTAGCAAGTAAATTGTGAGCTAGTAGTCAATCACCACAAACTCGTGTGCAAATAATGAGGTCAGAAGTAAGTGAAATGTTCCCACCCTATGGGGAAAAATTGAAACATGTTTAGAGCACACACTCCTTGAACACCAAGTACCTTCTAATATCAATGACAAAAGCATAGAATATTATCCAAACTAAATATCAATGCCTTATGAAGCAAGTGAATTCTCAAAAAAAATTCATTTTTCATTCAAGAATGTTTGTAGCATTCTGTGAATTACTTTCGTGTACAGTCCAATTTTGCTGTTAATTGGTTACATGCTGGCCCCGGGAAGTTGGATAAAGGGCTTGACGGCATTGATAACACTGATATGCAAAGAAACATTTTCAGCCGAGAAAGATGCGAAATGCTGAGACACATTCTATCGTGAAGATATGCCCTGATGTGTCACGTTATAAAAACAGAAGTATAACTCGCACCGCCATTTGACAACATGCAACATGCTTCAAGTTCACAGTACAACATTGACAATATTACGAGCACCCTGATTTTCAACTAGCAATGTTTGGAAAAAAAGTATGCTGGTTATATTCGAGTATGTATAATACATACTTACATATTAGCCATATTACAGACTTTAGTCATAGCATAGACTTGCATTACATTACCAAACATCCAGCATTTTCCATTATATCACGGATTCATTAACTTCATAATCCAGAACACCCTCTTATTTAAAATAAAAACCTTTAGGGAGGGTTTTAACATGTCAGCGTGCAATGCCTCCTTGCATTCCCTCAACGTGCAATGCCTCTCTCACAAACAAACGAAATGCAGACTTACACCCATAATCACTCTTTTTTCTGCTAGTCCAGCATCAAAGAACAATACATTTGAATTTGATAGAGAATGAAGTGCCTGACTTTTTTGTGAATATTGTAATTTCATTATTTTGGGTCAATAACACTACTACAAAACTAACTCACAATGGAATTCCAGCAACAGTCTTCTTTCTTGTCCACTGGCTCTTCTTTGATCTGGAGATAACAGAAGAAAACAGTCAATCACAAGTTCAACATGTATTTGAGAAACCCCACATGTCCATGCATCAAGATTTCTCAGGAAGCTCAAACAAGCTCCTAGTTTTCGGTGACAAGAACCAGGAAACTGACTTTTTTTGTTCTTATACCGCTTATAAAATATAGGTATATAAGATGCTTATATTGAAATATTTATGAAATATATGAATAATATGCATAAAACACAGGAGTTTTAAATTTTAAAACAGATACTTTTGAAAGCCATGGGCATGAGCCTGTTTTTGAAATGCATTACAAAGAAAATTATTTGTACTATTTTTGTTATCTTCAAAACAATGGAAAGAATATAGCTTCCTCACATTGAAGAATGAAATAAAGGAAGTATATTTTGCTTCTTGGAGAACCTGCCTTATGTGCAAATCTGCCCAATATCAACATAAACCTCAGTTCTGGCAAACATGGTTCATAGTAATAAATTGTATAACATGGAATTGTGTGTAGCATAGAAAACACTGGTCCCTTGCGATTCTGGTTTGAGCCAGTTTCCCTGCATTATTAAATATGTTCTTATCCACACATTTTCACTGTCAAACATGAAACATTCTGGAAGTTTTGTTCTGGTTTTTTTTCTTTCATAGCTTAATATATTAAGGTTTTGACAAAAAGGTACAAACTTCATTTGAACTCTTTTAGCTGGATGATCCTGAAAAAATATATATATATGCACAGCATCACAAATATAGAACATAAACAAAGTTTACTTCCATTTTCATAAATTTTTTACTACTCTTGTAATTTTATTTATTTATTTATATACATATAATTACAGGCAATCACCCAATTATTAAATATCATTTACATTACAGATTATGAAAATCATTTATAACAGGTTTTATAAGTTTTTTTAAATTGATAAGGTAACAAAATAAGTAATGCGGTTAGCAGTTGCACTTCCTACACATTTTCATAATGGCGCAATATAGTAAAGGTTGAATCTCGGCAAAGGAATCTTAAATACAATCCTGTTTTGTAGAAGCGCAGATCAGCAACTGGATTAGCCCAAGAAAATTTTCTAGAGGGTTCTATAAATCATTGATCTTATCAAATATACAAAGTACATCAAAAAATAATCGTATGGAGCATAATGAGCTAATATTCAATCTAGTATGCGACTTGGAATAATTGTGAACTAATCTATGAAGACTGAAATCCAGCTTGAAGGCAGCAAAAATAAAAAAAATTAATTTGTGACATATAATATCGGTCTTACTAAGTTAAATATAAAGTTTTTGATGGTTTGCATATTAGTTAAATTCCAGATGCAATACGTCTCACAATTCTAACATCTGATTTTGATTTATTAATAAGATCATGCAATGTGTAGATGAAAACTCATTTTCTGATGAGATTCTGAAACATAACCACCCAAATGCTAAAGTATGAAAACTGATTCCAAATTGCATCTCTAGTTCATAATGAATACAATGGGATTACTAGATCTAGTAAAAGACAAGGACTACACTTACCATTATTCAAATATTGTGATGAGCACCAATGTAACAATGTATTTAAGTCACATTGTAATGAAACAGTCTTTGTAATGAATTTTAGTTTTATAATTTTCAAGCTCATCAGCAAAAAAGTAGGAATTTTGAAGGTGGAAGTGTTTTCTTAAGGATCATTTACAAATAGAATGAATTATAGTGGGCCTAGGTGGGAACTTGTGGACTCAGATGTGACGCATATATTTCTAGAAAACAAAGGATTTATATTTTCACATTCTGCATCTCCCAGATTTAAGTAACCAATGAACCAATTCAAGATTGTACATGGATACCAATTTCCTTTCGCAACACATGAAGTAAAGAACTATGGTTTACAGTATCGAAGGCTTTGAAAAGTCCTGTATAAATTAATCTACTTGTTTTTGTATATCTAATTCCAAGATATAATGTTGGATAGTCATTTAAAATTAGTAACAGGAGACCCTCCCTTACGAAAACATGTTGTTCCTTGATCAAATCTGGATTTAGAAATTGCATCAATTAATTTGTTAATGGATTTCCATTAATTAGCAATTATACAAAGTTTAGAGATTGGGTCTATAATGTCTCACGTTAGAACGTTCATCTTTTTTTGTGATTCAGAGTTATATAACTGTTTTTTCACATCTTTGGGAGGGTTCCTTCTCGTAGAGATTTAATAAATAAAAAGTGTAGGATTGGTGTCAGATTCACATTACAATTTTTCAATAATAATGATGGTATACCATCAGGGCCAGGAAAAGTATCGGTTTTCAATTTATCAATAGCATTAAAAACATCACGTTGAGTTATATCAATAAAGCCAAAATAACCAGTTTATCGTCTTGATTAGAATTTCTAATAGTTGGAATATCGTCATTTTTATACACAGTTTCAAAAAATTATGCGAATAAATCTACAATTTGTTGAAGTGAATCCGCAGTTTCATTCCGAAAAAACATAGAATTTGGTAATCCAGATATTTTTTTCTTAGCGTTAGCATACTTCCAAAACGATTTAATGTCGTGATCAATAGAAGTTTCAATTCCAATTAAATAATCATAATAATCCTGAGCTTGTTTTGCTTAACATTTTTTCCTCAAATCAGAGAAGATAGTAAAATCATTCACATTTTGAGATAGTTTAAACTTTGAATGAGCGTGCGATTTCTCCTGAAACATGTTGATCAAATCCTTAGAAAACCAAATTGGATAAGATGAAGAATAATGAAGTTTTCTAGGAATGTGTTTCTCGATAATTTCGTATAATTTATTATATAAGATTTCAATTGATATGTCTAAAGAATATACAGTAAATAAGGGATACCAATTAAACTTTAATAATTCTTCATTGATCATATAATAATCAGCAAGCTTAAAATTATATACAACTTCGGGAGAGTCTAAAGGTAAAGTGATATTGTCATTTTTCAAAGTGATATTGAGAGCAGGCCGATACTTATCACAAGAAACTAGTGGAAAGTCAGATTTAATTATTTGTGATAATAAGTCATTGATGAATATTAAGTCTAACACTTTGTCATTAACATTTACTACATTGTTAATTTGATTCACGTTCAAGTAATTCATGGTATTTTTCAGTAGATTACCAATCTGATAAGTGATAGCAAAAGTACCAGTTGAAACATTATTTACAGTAATGTAATTTTCTGTAGTCCAATTGATATCTGGTAAATTAAAATCATCAGTTATTATAAAATTAGCTGTAGGATATTTCTCAAAAATATTTTCAAGAGACTCGGTATAATCAATATAAAGATTTATAGAATATTTAGGAGGAAAATACACAGTACTTATAATATATACATAAGAATCAAATTTAAGGAGAATAAAAAGGTTCTCAACATTTGTTTTATCAATGGAAATCAATGAACTCTTATATTTACGATTTATCGCGATCGGTACTCCACCACCACGTTCGTAAGCGCTCGTATCTGGATTTCTGTCTAGCCTATATATATCAAATCTTAATCTTCAAAACGCAACATGTTTTAGTTTAGAATTAGTAGTGATTATACTTGCCTCTTCCTTCAAGTTGTAAAACTCATATGTAAACATACTATTACTATCTAAAGCGCGCACAGATTCTTCGGCTAATACTGTGTAAACATATGACATTTTGTATGTTTACTTTGTACACTAATGAAACATACAGAAATTATTTACCTGTTCTACTTTGATAATACATTCCGCTACAATATCTATCTTCTCCATCAGCACGAGAACCGTTCTCCACAACAAAATGTTTTATCTTTGACACACTTGAACGCGCTTAGTAGTAATCGACAGCAACCATGGCTAGCCTCAGCCAAAGAGTATATATCACAGACGGCACTCAATGTTAAAAGGAAAAGTCTTATTTGCCAAACTTCCGGTGCCGCCACATTGTTCTGTATAATTTCTATTGGGTAAACGGACAGCCAATAGCGGAGAAGTAACCGGTAAATTTGAAATAAACCAGCGAGGCGGGAACTTTAAAATTTCACTCCCATACATCCCACACCTTAATTTATTAAAAAATTCACAATAATAATTATAAGGATTTTATGGAAAAAAGTTCAATTAGGGTAGTAAAATCTAGTATTTATTGACAATATCGATATTATACAATTTTGTAATTTCATTAGTAATAAGAATTTTGAATTACAGAAAGTAATAAAGAGTACACCTGCATAATTGCAACTTTAGTATTTGCTTGTAGA